AACATTTTCATTCAAATTATCATCAATATGTATGAAAGAAGTCCGGAGAAAGGTAAAACTGTGATTGTCTATGATTATCTGTAAAACATGGTCCTCTTTCATGGTTTGGGGCTATTTTAGCAGTGCTGTTAAAAGCATACCTGAACAGAAAAACAAACAATGGATTGGCTTTCCGAGAGCTTGGACCTCATGTTGAGAGAGAACAGAGCAAAAGACATCCAACATCCAAAGAACAGCTTTGAATGTCCCTCAAGAGGCCTGGAGAACTATTCTTGAAAAAAAGAAATGATGAGAAAGAGAGTTCAGGCTGTGCTGAAGAATAAGATGCTCATACCAAATTTTAACTTTCAAACTTGTTAGAATAGTACAATTTGTTTTTGCCTTGTCTATTATGTATATTTATTTCAATTAATTTGAGTGAAATGAATCTTTAAAGAAGTAAATGCTTCATGTTGGAGTCATTAGAGCAGCAGGTGGCAGTATTCATTCATTTTTAAAGCAGGTTTTTGTTTTGTTTTACTCGGGGAACAAAGACCTGTAGCATGCAGAAATTTAGGATGTTTTCAAGATCATTATCAGTTTAAGAAAACTTGTGTACATTTTAATAACTATATCTAAAGATTTCATGGAGTTTAATTTTACTTAAACAGCATACCTCTGTTAAGGGACCTGGAGACCTGGTTTGTTAAAATAGCTGAACACGAGGGAAACAATACCTCACACAAGAAAAAGAGACAGCCTTACTCTGCAGAATGCATAAACCACTCACATTACCCACATTGCATTTATTTGCATAAAAGTGTTTGTAGTAAAAAGTGGGAGATTTGCATTCACCGTAATGTTGACGGTTCAGTCTGCTTTACCTGCCATTGCCAGTTTATCATTATGACTGTGCTGAATACTGCTAAATGCTAAGAGATGCTTGACAGTCTACTGTCCCTCCAGGTCAGCCTTTGTGGCAGTTGTACCTGCAATGCTAAGATCAAAAAGTTTTGGGTGGATCTAATGGATTAAGGCACACACATAAACTTTTTAGCACAATTAGCTTCTTAACCTCCTCCCGTCACAGAAATTGCACAGATCATAGGTCTGTCACGGAGATTCTGATTCTTGGGGTTTGAACTGGTCAAGATAAAATCTTAAATAGTGAAAAGAATTTTACTCTTCAAGTCCCTGAAGAGAATCGATATGATACAGCCAGAGTAGGATAAATTCAAAGTAACAGTTTAACTTTTCACAATCCACAGTCAAAAATAGTTGCCTATGAACCTTATCTTAACGATAGGGTTCATAAGCAAAAAGGGCTGAAACCACAGATTAAGCAAGAAGCCAGTTCTGAAAATGATTTCCTCCTCAAGGATAATGTAACCAAACCATACAGGAAAAAAACTACCTTTGTGTATTAACAAGGTAAAAACATTCACCAATAAGCTGATAAGTCACCATAGCCACACAGCTGTATTCATTTCATACATTTGCAGTAATAATTCATGCTGACAGCCACGTGGAGGGTTTAAGTGAGCTCTCATTGATTTTTTTTCCTCATAGATTTGTTGTTAGTCCCACAATTTGCCCAGTTTTAATGGAAATGAAAATATGTGTGTGTTTGTAGTTCACACATACACATCCTCGGTGACTAGCCAGACTCCCTGCAGACTTGGTCTATTATTTCCTGGCAGTGTGGTGACACAGTACTTTATTCAGGCTGAATTACACCACCGAGCAACATAGTGCATTCAGTAACCTACTTAGACAATAGAGAAAGTCTCCACACTACACCAGGTGTCCAGTACATCTTTGGTCCTACTTTCCTTTAATTGCAAGCCTATTCTGTGATGGACATGTTTTCGAAGCCCCTTTATCGCTGCTACATGAAGCCATTTTCCTGACTTGTCATAGTTAAAGTGAAGAAAGGCCTCTCAGATGTGAGAAACCTGAACATAGCGATGTACAGAGTGGCTCAGTGCTGTTGGGAAACAATAGACATCTGCCTTATAACATTGTGTCAAAGTGACAGATCAATAATGCCTGCATCTTACATCATTACACTGCTGTGGGATATTGATTGCTGAGTTTGTGCTGAGTGGCACTTTACAGCCACAAGGTGTCTCACCACTCCTCTTGTGGTCACAGCTCTCTGAACACTGGGCTAGGCCCTCAACTCTAAAGGCATTGAGCTGATGAGTGGAAATGTTTCTGTTTGGGACAAAATATAAGCAGCTACGTGTGCTACTTGCTGTATGTTTTTGTTCGCAACAAGCTTCTAAAAATTTCTAAAATTATACAGCGAATAATATTCACAGTAAAGCTGGGAATGTTATGAGTGACAGTGTTCCACTTTTGGAAGAGTCATCCTGCCCCGTGGCTCTGGATCCTCCTTTCTGTGGAAGGATAACACAAGCAGGTTATATCGTTTCATCAAACACTGGCTTGACCTCAACACAAGCTCATATTTTTTTCTGAGCTGTCTGTGCAGGGAAGTTACAACAATGAGCAGTAAGCAGGTCCAAAGTTCCTGCAAATCCTACTGCAGAATAGGCAGCATAAACAGACGTTTCCTGTGGCTCCTGGTGCTCCACAAACCTCACAGTTAAACAGGCTGCAGTAAACAGCCAACACATTCCTGCTAAAAGAAATATTAAATAAACATGTTTATATAATTCAGTGCCTAAAATGAAAAGCCTACTGAGTCTATGGTGGTATTTTTGTGTCACATGGTGTAGTTAATCTTGTATTAATCTTTAACTGCAGCTTTCTTTGAAGTGCTTTTCTATTTTTAAAGCTACTTTTTCCTTTAACCACAGCACCTTAATATTCTTAAGAGGATTGGAAGGAATAGCAGGCTTGAACGTTTTTCCAAGGATTGCTTTACTTGCCTTTCAGACTTAATTGACATTTTTTGTAAATCATCCCTCTGCTTAATGCAATATAGGCTCATTCTATAGTCAAAGACAGACAGCCAAATCCACCCAGTCATACAAGCCAATCCCCAAGCTTCATCAGCACTCCGTGTTTTCCAGACTGCCTATGTCTCGTCCCACTCACACTCTCTGTCAGAGCGCGGCGTTGACAACCACTGGCCACTGATCAGCCCACTTTGCACGGGTCGCGTCTCCATGCTAGACTGCTGAAATAGGAGCTCTGTCCCTCACATTTTCTTTTACTTGCAAGTCAAGCATCTGACTGAAAGCAGCAAGCCCGTCCACGGCAACAAAAGCACAAGAAGTCAAAAAAAAACCTCCAAGTGATTTTCTAGGCTCATCACTGTCTGCACAATGTCTGGAGAAGACGCACCTGCTCAGCAGCAAAACGCCGTGGACCAAAAGCAGGAAACCAAACCTACCGAGGAGCCCAAAACCGAGCCACCCAAGACGGAGTCCCCACCCGCCGCCGCCGCAGAGGCAGCGGCCACCCCGGCGGCGACCACCGAGAAGGTCCCTGAAGAGGAGACCTTCACCTACCGCGCTCTGGTGCTCACCGGCTACGGGGGGTATGATAAAGTCAAGCTGCAGGTGAAGAAAGGCAAGCCGACACTCAAGGCTGGTGAGGTTCTGGTTCGGGTCAAGGCATGCGGACTGAACTTCGCCGACTTGATGGCCAGACAGGGGCTGTACGACCGGCTGCCGTCCCCGCCGGTTACCCCGGGAATGGAGTGCTCCGGGGTGGTGGAGGCTGTAGGGGAGGAAGTAACAGACAGAAAAGTAAGCACAAACTAGCTGTTGCCTTTTCTTTCTGTCTTTACTGTGTCATATAAAAAAAAACTTGCTGTGCTTGTTTTAATGTTTTGGTGATATGTATTTCATTCAGTTTGGGGCCGAACTGTTACATCTGGGCATGGGCGTGTCAGGCTTTTCTCCTTTCACTGGAAAAAAGTAGCGGTCGGGTTTCCATTTCCACGATTAAATTAATTTAACGTCATCAATCGATTGCAGGGCAATTCATCCAAAATACGGGGATAATATAAATCGGCTTTTTGGTTTAATATTGAGCTAATGTGGTTTCACATCCATTCATTCACTTCTGCGTAGAAAGCAGATGGCACTTGTTGTCTTAACGTGAAAAGCAATAAAGCATGTCAGTGTGCTCATGTTGATTTTTCATCTCTTTTGAAGAAGCCAAAAGTGTGTTAATGAGGCAAGTTGTGCACAATGCGGCCAACAGAGGCGTCGCCCCTCTTGTCTCCCCGGTTTTCGAATTGCGCTACCAGTGCGCACTTAGATTGAGCAACTTAAAGTACAAACTAGTTGCTGAGATTGAGAAGGATTCTCTGTTCACACCAAACATTCATGTTGAAAGTCTAAATCTATATAAACACATGTAATCTGTGGGATGCCTTCCATCCTTGCTGCACCTACGCTATGCTGCGCTTTGATGTACGCCATGGTGCGGCGTGTTGCGTCAAGTTAGCTGGAGACACCGTGGACAAGACCGGAAATGAGTGTGTTCTGCCTTCAGAATTAAAGCTACTAACGCGTTCATGTGTTTATTAGCCTATCATATTTTGTTAAGAAAAAGAAGGAAGCAATTAGGTGTGAGAAAACGAGCACTTTTGATGGAAAATTATTTAAAAGAGTGGCTAATGGGTATACAAACGTGGCTCTACTTGCAAAATGTTCGGCTAATTAATAGGCATTTTATTTTGGAGAATATGGAACGCTGTCACAGTAAATATTATGACTTGACACCGGTGGCGGAGACCGAAGTCACCGACGCCTTTTGTTACCGGGAGCGACGATGGCGCACACACGAATGGAAAGGGCGAGGCGCGACGCAACAGACAGCATGGTGTGAGAAACTGAATCAGTCGCACTATGTTCCAACAGATATCGAATCATATGTCCTGTGCTCAGAGATCTCTTTAACCCAGTGTTTCAACATCAAAAGTTCAAACCAGTGCGCTCTCAGACAATTAAGTAAATTAAACAGAATATTGAAGCCCCTTCCACCTTGATGGTCATCCACAAAGAACGATGCGTTGTGATGGCAGCAGGATTATTGGTGTCTGTCTTAAATTGCACGATGAGCCATATGAATCTATGTCTTGTCTCCTAGCAGCATGGCATCACCACGGTAACGCATTTTAAAGGTTGTTAAACAAAAAAAAAAAAAAAAGAACCCAAACGTTACAAAGCAGCCAATGATGACTCACGCTGCTTGTTGTACTAGTACCAGATTTTCTCACATCATCCAGTTAATATCTGTGGACAACACCATGTGATGCAAGTGCAGAATCAGTCCATCTGACAGGGAGTGGCACATATGTCTGTAAGGTGTGGATCCCTAGATGGATGGCTAATCTATTGCAGGATAACAGTAATAGGGTTAATTAAATGATTGGTGATGGGTGAACTTACAGCAGCCAGACATCATAGAAAGCGAAGACCCCTGTGTTTCAAGAATACTTCATTGCTCCTTTCCACATTGTCAGGGATGTTGATTTGATTTAAAGGTCACAAAGCACACATAGAAACACACAGCCTATCGATACGCTCCTACATCCCCTTGCGGCCTTTAGCTTATAGAATTAGGAGACAATCTTCCTAATGGATAGAGATCACTGCGATCTTTTGGCAGCTGACTCACATGGAATGTGCTGACCCCTGATGGCACAGAATTTTTGGGAGGCTCATCACCCACTGCTGAATTATTTGTCTGCCCTGTATCTCTCCCAGATAGACATATGCACACAAAGACATTCAACAGTGGGAGTGTCTGAGTGTCTTTCTTCCCATATATAATACATAAAGGCAATAATATATTGCTTCTTAATTAAATAAAGTAAGATAAACAGTGGTTAAGTAGAGTGCAATCCGTTTTATTTCATATTTCCAAAACATTGATATAGCATATTAGATATGCAATGTTTTAGGTTAATTTCTGAAATGCATGAGAACTGCTTTAAAATACAGAAAACTGTGTACAGTAGTGTTTTTGAGTCTTTTTAATGCTTCTACACTTTCTCCCCCCTTTGGCGAGTGCAAAGACTCGTGGGATTCTAAATTTCTCACTTCAAAGCATGACTTTAAAAGTGTTGTTGTGTTTAAACAGGTGGTTTTGTATTTAGACTCTGTTGCGGGTGTGTGAATGGGTTTTTGGTGTTTGTCTGGCCAAAGAGAGAGTTAAGGTTTATCTAGCTATGGGCCACCCTGACTAAGACACCCATAGCAATTAATGACATCTGGTCAGGATTCATCTTCAGGAAGTTTGTTAAAATGCTGAATAGGACAGTATTCACATACACATGTGGTGCAAGAAGTAGGGGAATTGCAAGAACACTGATGTCCTGTTATAAGAAACTTAAGTAAGGATATGCAGCAAGGACATGTAATTATTCATTAAAGTAATAAACTGTGAAGTTATAGTTTAGAGCTCTCAGCTCTTTATTGTAGTTTACTAAAATTCTTGAAGTATAGATAAAGGCTATTAAACATTTTTAGATTATGTTCAAAGATTAAGCAATATTTGTTTTGAAACTCAAATCAGTACATGGATCAAACAGTCCCATACGCTGGTTTTTCCTCTATTTTGACCTCCTTTTATTGATTTTTTTTCTCCTCCATTATCTATCAGTAACTTTCCCTTCAAAGAACTATAAGTTGACTGAAGTATTACAGGAGTTGAGTCACCTGAAATAACCCTAGCAAGCAAATGTGGGGAAAAGTAAAACGCTGAGTAAGATCAGAAAAATCATGAATCACCCTGAAGCTCCCGTGACACTAAACATCAGCGTTTTTTGTTTTTTTAAATGTCTTGTTTTTTGTTTGTTTTTTTTACATCAGACCAGCTTTAAAAATGTTCTCCCTCGGTGAGGATCTCGCCCATATGTTCTCAATTATCTCCCTGGCCCACATTGTCAGTCTGGTATTTCCTCCATCAATCCTCCCCTGCCTTTATCTATAGCTTTTTTTCCTTTCATATAATCTCTTAATTCTGTCTATGACCGCTGGGCTATCGGCGACTTGCTCTGTCGTGCTGCCTTCACTTATTCTGGCCTTGTAACAGTTGCTGGCTTTCTAAAGAACAGCTTTCTCGATTGTCTTCTTGAGCTTGTAACGCGTGCTTTCCTTTCTCTTCTGGAAATTTCTAAAGGTGAACAACTAGACTTTATTAATTCATCTGAGGGGAAAAAAGATGATGGATAAAATATAGAGATGCAGCAAGTGACTGCAAAAAGCAAAAAACAGCTTGCAGACCATCACGTAGTTTGCTGGATGGGAGCTGGGTGTGGCCTTAACACCATACAAACTCCATGTTGAACCTAACGCCTACTGATGCAGCAGAAATATGTATGCTTTAATTTTATTCACAGGAGTCACAAGAGCTGTGTGGGTGTTATGTTTAGCCTTTATCTTTCGCCTGAACCTGACTTTGTTCAACCTTTCTTTTTTTTTTAAACTTGATAATTTTTTTGCCTACATCATCAAAGCTCCAAGCCACAAAGCAGCTGACTAGGAGGCTTGCATACCCCAAAATTGAATCACCATCTGATTAAGTCCATTCATATACAATGTCTTTGTTCAAGGTGCCTGCACTCCTCACCCTAACTACATCTGATGCAGCATGAAGGCAGAGAAAGGAAGTGCAAGAAGAGGCTATGCGTTTGTCACACTGTGAAGATGTTGTAACAGAAGTGTCACAAGGCTGGTTTATTTGGCCTTGAATGTTCCTACGCAGCTTCTGTGTGACTGACAGTAACTCACATGCTTTACATGGGCATGGAAGAATGGCTGCAAATGCATTTGTGAGTCATGTTTGTTTCCTGTAAACGCCTGAACTCCCCCGCGTATCGATTTGTACCACACTGCACCCCCAATTAAATCACAGAGGTTGATGAATTTGAAGATCCCAGCGGTAAGAAAAGACAAGGAGATGGAAATGTGAGAGAGCTGTCAGCAAGCCAAGGGAAGTAGCCCGTGGTAAAAAAGTGATAGTATACTCTGAAATATACCAAATGACTCAGCCTTTAGACAGAAAGATGAGGGTATGAAAAGAGAGAGAGATCTCTCTAATTGGAATGGATAGACAGCGAGGCGCATGGCTCCCTCCAGACCATTAGAGAAGCCCGGGTGGAGAGGGTTTGTTCCCAGGAGGCGAGAGCTTGTCTTATGCTCAGCCATGGGGAAGAATCTGGCAGGGACTGTGATGGGTGGAGAGAAGCCAGGGGAGAAGATGGGCCCCATTGTCCTGTCTCACTGATGAGGAAGAGGTGATACGGGACACTCCTCACAAGGGAAAGAAGAAAAAGGATGGTTAAGACAGAAAGAGACAACGGAGGATGAAGAACTGGTGATGAAAGAGGGGATGTCAAAGAAGTCACAGACAGGATGAGACGCGGGACTGGAGAAGGGGAAGGAAGACATTCTATAGTTATAAGAGGAAAAGGAGTCAGGAAGTGAAAGAGAAAGAAGGGAAGAGAAAAAGTGGGGAGAGTGGAAACGAGGTGGGAGGGTGAGCTATGTCAGGAGCTGTGGTTAGGGGGGAGGAAGAAAACAGGAAAAGATATATAATGCTACAGTTGTCGTTGTTTCTTGTGTCCCTCGACTGAGTTCTCCTGATTGGTTAGTTAGCCCGCTGGGGGAGGGGGGGGGGGAATATCATGGCTAATTGTGGCTTTTGCGAATTGGAGGATCCTGCTTTGATAAGGATAGTCTGAGAGCGGTAAAAGGACAAGATGGTGATTAGGATATGAAACACACATTGCACCTGGGACCAAAGTTGTTCTAAACCAGTACACTGGCAAAATTATTAAATGCTTCTCACATGTTTTCTCATATTAAGAGCCAAGAGGGCACTTATGATGTAGTGATTGTTTGGTTTTTTCCCCTTCTTGAGTGTTATTTCCTGATCGCATTTAATACTTTAATTCTTTCTCATGTTTTAATACGATGCATGTTGGTTTTTAAAGCTAACAAAATCTTCGTGCAAGCAGTTAACAACTTCAAATCTTTTTTTTCTTCTTTTTCTTTAACTGCATCACTGTTTTTCTTCCTTTATAAACTCGGCGCAGCTCTGGTTACTATTCTTATTCTGCTCTAGTTTATCGCTTTCCTTCTTTGCTTCCACACTTTAAAAGCAAAGTGTTTGAGTTTGGTGACCGAGGTGGCCGCATGTTTGTGTGTGTTGCTATAAGATAAAAATAAACCTTAGTCTAACTATTTCTGTTCTGTGGATTGCATCATTCACACTGCACTAAGGACTATGAGACAAAGATAGCAGGAGATGAACAGACCAGCGCCTCCAGCAGTGAAACGGGTTCATCTCAAGAACTCAGTCGGTTAAAGTATTGCAGAATTTAGACCTTATTTAAGAAAATTGTTTAAAAATCTGTTATACATACATTATTGTAATGTGTCACTCTGCAGTTGATACAATATTGACCCAGAGACAGAAAGGAAAGGTTTTTCCCTGGCTTACATCATTGTAAGGAGGTCCACGGGATTCAGATATATTTTAGTGGGAAACGGATATCTTACTGATTTTCCAGTGCTTTAGGACTTTGGTGTCAATCTTTTTTGTCAGGTGGGATGAACTCAAAAATCCCCTCATCGACACCACTCATCAATAATGCGAATGTGTTCAATTAAATGAATTTTAAATGGGATCTTATTTTAATTCTGCATGTTCCAGTCATTTGTAGAGCTGCAAGTTGCACTGGAAAACTTGTAACCATTTCAGTGATTTATCCATTCATTTTAGCCTACATTCCATTCATCTACACCTTTAGTTTGCTGTCTAAAGTATTGTACATGATGCTAATTCACTCACTTGTTTTCTCTGCATCCATAATCTCTAATTATTTTTAATGCAGATTCATTAAGAAAATAAATTGTTCACGTGTTAACTTAATATGTGCATGTAATGTAATCAGACAGTCTATAATAACTATTCATTTACCCCCTAACAAGCTCTGGCCCCCGGGTTACAAGAACTGAATTTACAATTTCTTTCCACCCATGTCTTGCTGTGCTCTTTGTTTCAGGTTGGTGATAAGGTTATGGTGCTGAACCGCTTTGGGCTGTGGCAGGAGGTAGCAGTGGTGCCAGCAAACCACACCTTCCTAATCCCAGAGGGGATGAGTTTTGAGGAGGCAGCAGCCCTGCCTGTCAACTACATCACCGCCTACATGATGCTGTTTGACTTTGGCAACCTGCGACCCAACCAGAGCGTGCTCGTCCATGCGGCTGCAGGTAAAAACTAAGCAGAAACCAGTTTTCAAAAATATAGAGAAATTTTTATGTGCATGTGGAACACACAGACTCCTTGTTTTCTGCCAGGCATAGGTTGAAGATACATTGATAAAAGGGATTGTTACTTCAACCACTGTGCTTGGAGCTTTGAATAATTGCCTGCATTCCTAAAAGGTCATATGTAAATAAATGTAATCCTACAGCAATTTGTCAGTTTCATCTTAGTTTGCACCATCTCTGTGATTGTGAACTGTGTTTATATCAACCTCTTTAATAGAGTTAAAGAGACCATTTTACAGTTCATCAGAAGAGCACAAATCAAAGATACAAAGCTGGTATTACAGACTAAAAAAAACACCCTTTGGCACTTTCACTTCTTGACTTTCTCCTTCTCTGCGTGCCCTGTTTATGCATTTTTCTTTATGAATTATAGCCAATGGAAAAGGTCCCAGACTTCATCTGTATGAGATATGGCTCAGTGTTTTACTCTCTCTAGGACTCCACTAATATAAGAGCACCTGCCACCTGGAGTGTAAACGGTCAACGTTCAGAGCGAGTGGGTGGGAGGGAGAGAGATGGGGATTGAGGGAGTAAAAGCACCTGTTTTGGGGTGTGATCCACAAAGCTTGAGAGCATTTAATTCTGCTCTGTTTACACAATCAGGCCAGCTGGAGAGAACTGAAGAACACTAGCCAAAATAAGACGCTCTCTCATTCTCCCTTCCCCTTTTCTGCTGTCTACCACTGCACATTTCTCACTTTTTGTCTTATTCCCACTTTAATTGTGTAGAGGGACCAAGAAAGGGGTCCCTCAGCTTTGGGAGCAGTTTGTGGGTGAGGATTGCTAAGAAACCTGACTGCCAGGTGAATGCATCCCTTGACATTAACACTGAAAAAAGAATGAATTTGTAAGCTAAACTGCGATATACCCCGAGCTGAATGACAGCTAACGTGCTCATAGTTGTGGAACTGGTGGTCTACAGAGGAATCCCAAATGTTTGCATTAATCATATCATCTAGTTGATGCAATTCATCCCTGTGAATACAAACTGTATGGCCCAAGGGTTCCTGTGCAGAGTGTGTTGTCGATGAGAGGAATGCTGTGTGGTGTGGTGTAAGACACATTTCCCTGCTGGTTTGGTTGATGCGGCATCTCTGGTTTCTCAGGGCAGGCTGCCAATCCTGGCTCGCCAGCTGTCCGGACATCAGGATTGTAAAAGCACATTGCTGAGGCTATGACAAAAATATTTGCTGAACAGTCTTGCCAGTGCTCTGTCATTCCTTGCATGTGTAAATAATCATTGCAAATAGTGTACGTCCTGCTGCACCGCTCTAAAAGCTAGCAGTGTGTATATTAGTAGTGCCTTTTCTGAATAAGGTGTTAGAGCGTGAGAGCTGCGTGCATCCTTCTCTTAACATCATCATCGGCTGCGTGGCTCAAAGTGTGTGTGTGTGTGTGTGTGTGTGTGCATGTGTGTGTGGGTCCCACCCTGAGTCTGTCAAAATTGTTCCTGATGTTCTCTGATTAGTGTGATCAAAGGTGTCTGCTGTGACAGGGTCAAAGAGAGATGGGGGGTGGGGTAAGACTGTGAGTGTCTACAGACCTATCTGCACTGTTCTTTCAAGTCTGTTTTCCAATAACAAGAAGGAGATTAAAGCCAGGGGTGCTTATGTTCCTTACAAAATGTATTCCACCATTCCAGTGCAACTGGTTATTTCAAATTAAGACCTAACAGGCTTGTCTTTCAACCATCAATGGAAACCAGAGTAACCAAGAGAACTCTCACAGACACAGGGAGAACACACAAACACCATGCAAAAAGCCACAAGCCAGCAGGCTTATGGATTCAAACACAGGACCTTCTTGCTGTGAGGTAACCGTGCAAACCACGGCACCGCTGTGCTCTTCTGCTCAGACAGTAATGAAACTGAACAATTTGCTGTATGTAAGTGTGCGGAAGCTGAAATTTCTGGCCCAGAGTAAGAGAGACAAGCTTTATGAATACGCACTATTTTTATAAATGTATAAAAAATAAAAAGTGGTATCAAAAGTATGCTAGTACATATTAGTCTAAAGCCTTTTACTAAATGAAAGTTTAGCTTGCACATAAAGACTTGTTGCTTTTATGTCATTCATGTTATTGTAAATGAAATTTCTATAATTTCTGACAGAAAAAGAAAGTGATCTGATGATCATGGGAAACTTTCAGTACTTTCTAACATGTTTATAGACAAAACAATTACCACTTTGTTTTTAGATAATAAACAACTTAACTGCTAACACAGGCATTGCTTCTAACTTTATAGTAAAGTGATCTAAGGCGATGGTTTCCCTTTTTGGCTAACACTGAAGCAATGTTTACGTGTGACCCCTTTTTGCAGTCCATGATTAAGCACATCACATGATTGAGTTCTGAGCACATCACGACTCAAATATCCCTGGTTTCATTTTGACATGGAGGGGGCAGGGGTTATGACTCTTAGTTGGACTTTCCATATTGTTCATACTCACAAGGCACTCTTATTATGTGTAGTAACTTTGAGAAGATTTATCTTTTTTAATAATAATAATGGATTGGATTTATATAGCGCTTTTCAAGGCACCCAAAGCGCTTTACAATACCACTATTCATTCACTCTCACATTCATACACTGGTGGAGGCAAACTACAGTTGTAGCCACAGCTGCCCTGGGGCAGACTGACAGAAGCGAGGCTGCCATATCGCGCCATCGGCCCCTCTGGCCAACACCAGTAGGCAAGTAGGGTAAAGTGTCTTGCCCAAGGACACAACGACCAGGACAGAGAGCCCAGGGATCGAACCGGCGACCTTCCGGTTACAGATGCGATTCCCAACCCCCTGAGCCACGGTCGCCCGTTTTAGCATCATTTGTTAGTGCTGGTGTTTGTTATCATCTGTTTCCACAGGTAAAATTAATCGATATGCAATTCCAAGGTACATGCATCTTTTATCCTATGAAGTTATGACACAATAGTGAGTTACAGCTAAACCTTTCTCACAGCTCCACCCATTTGACTAGCATAAATAGGCAAAGGGATTTACATTAGACTCATTAGACTGTCTCAAAATTTTGCAATTGCTGGGCGCATGTGGAAGTGCACCCAAACAAACAACACTGATCTTGTGTGTAAGACATGTCTGCATAACACCACATTCTTGCAACATTTGTTTATGTTGAGCAAAGATAATATAGTGAGCTTTAAGATGAGATTAACTGGGCCACATAACCCAGGAGTAGCACAGGCAGTGATTGGTTTTTCAACCTCAGTGACAAAGTACAGTTGTAACTACGATATAAACTGGTTATTTTTTCTTTTTATTGAAGGCCAAGATCGACAGCTTTTTACCACATAGACTCTCTGTTTGAGTAATTTTCTTCATTCCTCACCTTCATGTCTTTCTAGTAAATTCTTGAGGGTTCATCCTCTGACTGTTTTTCTTTTCTTTTTTTTTCTTATAAGAATCTAATCCGCTAATTAATCGCTTTGGAAAATGATTAATTAAATTATATTTAAAGCGTCCCTGAAGGTCCTAAGACCTTTAGTTGAACAATAATACCTAATAATGAACATCTAATCATATCATTTTTGACAGATTTGGGAGTTTTTCTTATATAAAGGTTACTAACATTGATATATATTATAGTTTGGATAAGAAGAATAAAATGCAAAAAAAATCTTTAAGTCAGGGGACAAGTAGCAGAATTTTATGCTATTCTAACTCACTATATGTTTATTATAATGACATGAGGGTCATTCTAATTGTTAAACTGTGCATGTGAAATTTCACAGAATCCATCCATTCTCAGCTTCTTATCCTTCTCGGGGTGGCGGGGGAGATGGAGCCTATCCCAGCTATCTTGGACGAGAGGCTGGGCACACCCTGGACAGGTCGCTAGTCTGTCGCAGGGCTAACACACAGATGCAGACAACCATTTAGACTCACATTCACATCTATGGGCAATTTAGAGTTTCCAATTAACTTATCCCCACTAATTGCATGTCTTTGAAAGAAAAAGACATCCAAGTAACCAGAGAGAACCCATGTGAACATGGGGAGAACATGCAAACTCCACACAGAAAGACCCTAGCCTGATGGAGGAGCTGAACTCAGGACCTTCTTGCTGTGAGGCAACATTGCTAACCACCGTGTCACCATATTTCAAGATTTAAAGATCGTATGAAACTGAAGTAAAGGTTACCGGTAATGTCAGAAATAATAACATAACCCTTCGCAGCTGGTTGCTTTGAATCAGTGGCTTCTAAAAAAATTTTGCCAGGTCTCACTTCAAAAGCTGGAAAAAAGTTCACACCATACATGCCAAAAAATTTTATCATTCTGTAGAAATAAAAAGGATTCAACAAGTATTTCAGTGTAATGAAGGCCAGCACTTATTTTTTTATATTTTGGCCTCTATTTTCCCTATAAAAATAATTTATTCATTAGTTTTACTCCAAATTTCTCCCAGGTCATTTTCAACCTCATTTTGTGAAAAGTTGCATTAATGGTGGTGATAAATTTTAATACTCTTGCTGATGGAAAGCAGTGACAGATGTTCATGGGAATAACCTGCTGAACTCTGTTGTGAGCGTCTTCAGGGATGGATGCTTTTGTGTCTCCATGTTTTCTGGTAATGTCACATCAGCATGAAGAGCAACATTTCCTCAAATGTATGGTGACCTTAACCCATCAGGATCAGGTGACCAGATAGGAATGCCTGCCTGGTGTTTAGACTCTGTTTGTCAGTCAGGCCTTTATGTGCATGTAAGTAAACTCTGGTGAATAGTCCTCAGCTGCTTCTCTCGTGGGTCCGCTCCTGTCCTTTCTCTCCAAACAATGGCTTTTTGTATTTCCTCCCATCGTGCCTCTCTACTCCACTGCGTTTCACATCTGCATCCTCCGTTGTCCTCCTCCATCTCCGGCACTCCGTAACCTCTGCTCTCTCTGCTTGACCTCTCCATATCCGTGCTCTAGTCCTCGT